AGAAACTGATTAAAAACTTGATCAATCATTTTTTAAACATAATATTAATAAAGAATACTAAAATTACAGAGGATAAGTTAAATTATTAAGTTTTACGCCAGTGAACATTTTAGCATGTTACATACAAACTCCATTAGAGTTTCTTCAAGCGACAACAAAACATGACGCAGTCCCCAAAGTTTTAGTCCTCAACTTGACATATCTTACCCTATCAACTGTAATAATATTAAAAAAAAAAAAAGAAATTAAAAAAAAATGTATAAAGTTCAAAACTTTAACTTTTCCATGCCTGAGGAATTCGGGCATAAAAAAAAGTTCGTTACAGTTCTAAACATTTTTAACTACAAAGTTGTTTCGTGTTTATCTTTCTTTTTTTTTACAGATAATATTTTTATTTTATTTTTTTCAAGTATATTTTTTTTTTCCTTAGGCAGAATTATATATTTTCAGAAGAAATTATAAACCGTTTAACATATTCAACGAACAACAATTAAACAATTACGATACAAAAAATTGTAGTCGGGTTCAAAATATAAAGGAAATATGAAAATTTATAAGTATTATATTGCTTTGCATTAGAAAAATTAAAAATTGAGTTAAGTTAGTTTAGATCGTTAGGTTATAATAGGACAACATAATACGTAAATTTTGAGCTTATATTTAAATAGACATTGTAAAGTTCATGCAAATTATTAAAATTAACTTTACAATACTTTGATATTGTCCTGTTGACTATTTGTTCTTGATTTTTATTCACAAAAACGCAATTTTTTTATCTTACTTCGAGCAAATGTTAATTTTTTGTTATTATTTTGTTAAATATGCTCAAATTCACGATTCAAAAAGAAAAAAAAATTATTTAATTATTTATTTAATATAAAGTGTTAAATCACCGTGTTGTACCTCAAAATCTAATAATCACTACAATAACTTTTAGTGTTATAACGGCCAATTTTGTTTTTAGATGGAAGGAAACGTGGTTTTGATATAGATAGGTAACTTTTATTAATATATCATCAAATGAAGGATTGCTCTCCAAACTTAAAATTTTACTTCCTCCGACCTACTATCTAATATTACTTTCATATCTAACGGATAGACACTTTGTAGTAAAAGTAGAGACAGAACGTTCTGACATCACACCTATTAAAGCAGGAGTGCCTCAGGGTAGTGTCCTTGGACCAATATTGTTAAATATATGTCTGACCTACCGGAACACAACGACACAATACTGGCTACTTTTGCAGACGATACCGCAGTACTAAGCCCAGATAAAAATCCTGTTCGAGCATCTACCATCCTTCAAAATCATCTGAACGATATTGCAGACTGGGCAACAAGGTGGAAAATTAAGATGAATAAAAAAAAAAGTATGCATGTGGTATTCACTCTTAACCATAAACCTTCCCCTGAAATATATTTTAATAACATTCAAATCCCAACATCAGATGTAATTAGGTATTTAGGTTTTTACCTGGACAAAAGACTTACTTGGAAGACTCACATCAGACAAAAACGAATAGAATTAAACAGACGATACGGTCTCTTATCCATATTACTTGACAGACGTTCAAAATTATCTTTAACTAACAAACTAACCCTTTATAAAGTCTTACTTAAACCTATTTGGACTTACGGCATAGAACTGTGGGACTCTGCTAAAATTTCCAACATTAAAAAAGTTCAGTCCTTTCAGTCAAAAGTGTTGCGAAGGATAGTTGATGCACCTTTTTATGTCGCAAATGACACACTACATAAAGACTTAAACGTACCTACAATTTTAGATACTGCAAAAGAGAACTATAATAACTTTCACCAAAGACTGACGTACAACATGAATCCTCTGACAGAAATCCTTCATCGTACAAGAAACCCGTACAGCCCACCACGACGATTACGTAGGCGTTGGCCAAGAGACCTGCTGATTTGATTTATATCCCGGACGTGATGGGAAGCTGTGAAGCTGCTAAAAAATTTGCTTATTGCAAAGAAATTTGCAGATTGCAAATTTAATCTAATGTTCCACATTTTGTTTGGTTAATAATAATAATAATATCATCACAACTGGGAGTGGGAAGAGTCTTGCAGGTAAGTCTTGTTCTTGCTCGAATCTTGCTGTGTTAGTCTTGGTCTTGGTCTTGTAAAAGTGCAAGAACAAGACAAAAATTGTTTTGGGCAACACTTTTTTTTATTTATTTATTTAGACATATAATATTCTGTCACAGGGACAATAATTATATTGATAAATGAACACGTTCACACCGTATATACAAAAAAGAAATAAAATTAACAAAAGTAAAATAATAACTAAATAATAGTAAATAAAAACTATATACAATACAAAAATAAAATAACCTAAATATAAGTAAATTAAAAACATAAAAATACACTCATACCTATATACAATATATACAATGAGGCGGGGAACGCAAATCCCTGCGTTACTCTCTCAACCGCCTCACCGGTGCTAAAGCCGGTGGAGTTTGAGAGAGAGCGCTTTAGCCACATACATTCATGTCTTGAGTGGAGAATCTGGCCATTGCCGGAACTCCAAAATAAATACTATAACAGATCTCTGGGCCACTGCCGCTTCAACCTTCGAGGAGGGTTGTAGGGATGAGTGGAACTAGATAGGGATTGGGCTAGGGGATTTGGATGATTGATAAGGTTCTGATGGAATTTTGAAAATTTTTCATGGATAAGGTCAAGAACAAATGGGATATTAAGGTCATGGTGTAGGGTTTTGTTGGTTACATAGAACGGAGCATCGACTATTGTTCGGAGGACTTTGACTTTGGATTGAAAGGATTGGATGCGTTTGATGTTAGTAGGGCAACACTAGTTCTCAAATCTTCCAGCTTTTTTAATTTCCGAATATGGAATACCCCCCTGTTTTCTCTCTCCCAAGAATAGGCATCTCTGTTTACAAAAACCTCTCTTGTTTACTTTTATCTGTAATGTATAATGAATGAGCTTCTTTTAAACTTGACCTTAAACTTTTTTTCTTCTAACATGACATTCCTTGCAATTGCTAATTTCCTTGGAGCTTCCAGTCAAACCACAAATGTATATTCGTACCTCGCATGAAAAGGTGCTATGTCCTGCCATAAATTGTTAGTCTAAATAGTTCACGTCATTGGCTACTTTTACCAATTAATGCGAACCTTACCTTGATTTTTTTTTTTGGAAGTTCACATTAGTGAAATTTCAACCATTTTTAAATTTTCCCTTTCTATTTATAAAATATATCATTAATGAGATCAGCGTTAGTTATTTTTTCAACCAAGAACGTCAATGTATATTCATAAAGAGGATGGCAAACACTGAAATGTATTCTGTCAAGCAATGCTGGACGGGCCAGCTCAGATGAAACGTAAATACATCGGTTGATCCAACAGTTACGAATAAAACAAACTCCGGCTGTACCTGATGTTATTCCCAGCATTGGATATAACGACGCCATCTCGATGGAGTGTTGACAATTCAGATTGGACCCTACAACGCTCGGGAATATCTAAGCGGAAAATTAAATCAGAAATCTTTTGTAACGCATATCCATGCTGTACAGGATAGGGAGAGAAATAGTTCAAGAGGTCCTGTCAAAATAATAGGATTTTATAATTAATATTTCATAATTCTATAAAAATATTTGTTTTTTATTCCTTAATGATATTTACAATTGTATTAAAGAAATACATTTAATAAATTTGAATATATGGATATAATGACGAGAAAATACTTATTGAGAAACTACAAAATGGTAGCACTATAATGATATACCTACATTAGGAGATCACGGGGCAATCTTCTTTTCAGACGCCTCGGAGGGTTATCAGGGATTGAAGAGGAAGCAAGGCTAGAAACGAGATGGTTCGGATGATTCTGAAGTTTATTATGGAAGGATAGGTATCTGGATTGGGCCAGGTCTGAAACATAAGAAACATTAAGGTCATTAGGGATGGTTTTATTTGTAACAAAATATGGAGCATTGAGGATTTTAGGAAGGATTTTGGATTGTAAGGATTGGATACGAGAGAAATTCCATGGTTTAGTGGAGCTCCATAGCTCAACTCCGTAAGTCTAAATAGGCCTTATTATAGTCATTTATATGAGTCTTTTGTAATTAGTTGGAAGTTTAGAGCGTTTGACTAGTAATTGCTGAAGTAATCGGAAAAGTCGAGCGGTTTCTTGTCGTTTCAGTCTGGTACGAAGTTGGGATTAAAGAATCAAAATTAAAAATTATCACTTCTCCATAAAATACCCTTTCGTTTGATTCCTCATTCATCAAAATTCATCCCTCTTCAGAGCCGGAGGAAATCACATGACATGTCTTTGTGTTTCAGTTTTGTACTTTATCGGGCTCTAACATTATAGAATAGATATTGGAATATTGTGAATATATTTTTTATTTAGACCATCTTAAACATTCTCAGCAACAGTACGTATATTAATTGTATTACATTCATTTTATTTGTATAAAACTATGATATAACTCAATTATATGTATTTCATTTTCCACTCTGGGAATTTCTGGAATCTCTCTCTGTACTCCGGAATTCTCAATCTATTTCTGCCCATATTTCAACTGGAATAGTAAAAGAAAGAAGAAAACTTTTTCAATTAGTTGCTTACAACTTTAACTACTTGTTTCGTATCGGTATTTGAAATAGGGCCAACAGTTCGAGAAAATTTCCGATATTTTCCCTCGACTCAACAAAACTAATTTCTCTACAGCATCCAGGACAGTATTGATGGTTTCTAAATTTAAAGAATTCTATGGTAAATATTTTTCTTTGGCTTTTTCTGTTCTGTTAGACTTAAAATGGCTTTAGTGCAAACAACTAACTTTCAAAATACGTTTTAAAATATTTTTAATCCTATCACTAAGTAAAAAAAAATAATTTGTGTGTTTGTGTGAGCTTTTTAACATTTTGCTTAAATTGTATTTTACTGTTGATAAATCTTTCTAAGTATTATTAATTATACTGTTTCTTTTACAGTCGTTGCAACCCATGCCCCGTCGTCAAACCTACCTTCCTCTGCGGAACCGACAACAGAACTTACTCCTCTCTCTGCAGGTTGGATTACCACAATTGCATCCACCGTACCAGCATCAAAGTAGCCTGCAAGGGTTTCTGTCCATGCAAAGGTAAGCTCATCGAATGATTAGAAGTGTAGATAACATAATAATATTTTATATAATGCCCACTCATGGCGGGCTCACTGCAAGGAAATCAGCCCGTCGAGTCACGTCGAATCCTTCTTCCTGACAAAATTCTATCGCTTTTTAACTGAACGTATTCTTATGAAACTCATGAATCCTAAAGAGTTGTATTTACCATATATGATTTTTTAAAAATGAAGTACAAGGATAAATCGATTAAAAAATGCATTTAAATATTACCATTTCTATGAAACCAGCTAGGAAGCTGAGCTAGCCTTAACTACTACATTGTACTACATGACTAGGTTGTAGTGTGATATATTATTTTTTTATTATATTATTTTAATATATATATATATATATATATATATATATATATATATATATATATATATATATATATATATTTAGTATGCAATATTATAGTTTCCATTGTTCAAGGTTATTTAATGACTGCCACTTCGGACTATCAGAGATGGGATATCGATAGTTATCAAAATTCTTAGTGCTTTCCGAAAACAATAGTTATATTTTGGTTTTTTATTTTCAACAATGAACCATTTTAATCGAACGAAAAATTCAGAAACTTAACTCCTCTAAAAATTTGAGGTTTTTCATTTCAGAATATGTAGAATTCGAAAAACGACCGATTTTTTTTCAAATTTGCATTTAAAATCAGAGGTCACACGAGGATGATCCTCCTTCATCGACATTACTATCCGCCTTTTACTTTCCAAATGCGTTGCTGTTGCTGTTGTTGAAATCCTGCGTTGCTATAGACTGTAGCTCCTAAACGTGTGTACCGATTTCAAGGAAACTTGGCTAAAGTCTTCTTCTTGATGCCCTTTAAATTTATCTATATAACATACTTTTACTAAAAGAAGCTGGAAAAAAGTTACGAGGGATGGTAAAATTAGATTCCGAAGTATACACTTTTTTGTGGATATGGTTTGTGATATGTTTTTTTTTTAATATTACAAAATTTCTTTCCTTTTCTTTCCAAAATCCTTTGTTTTGGATTTTTTACTGTGTTATTGAAGTAATGCTATTTTTTTTTAAACAAATTACTAATGATGAAAAAAAGTTTAGGCAAATAATTGGAATTAACTTTTTATTTCTTGAAATTTGTCACTGGATAAGTAATGTAAGTAATAGTTTACATGTATAATTGTTGGGGAATAATAAACCGTTGTGAAATAATTTTCAACGTTTTTATTTTTAAATTTAAATTTTTAAGTACATACTATCGATGATAAAATATCTAATATAGTTATTTCGGTAATATCGACTATCGATGGCCATTCCTACTTCTGGACCATTTTTGTCGTCATTAATTTTGTTTTTGGCTACAACACTGTCAACAAATATATATAGGCGAAACATAAAAAAAATTAAAAACCAGAATATCACAACATACATCAAACGACAAAAATAGTAAAAACATTAACATAACGGCAGTAGCAAACAACAGTTTTAAATCACTACACACATTTGATTTAAAAAAACCACACATATTAGAAATAGAACCTAAATCAAACAATAGAAAATTCCTGGAAGCCATACATACAACAAAAAACAATAATAGAACAGTAAACTATAAAACTGATACAAAACACTTGTTTACACACTATTCGGACATAATATCCAATATTGAAATTCAAAAAACAACAATAGACAAAAAAAAACACAACAAGCAGCCATAATGAGAAATAAGAGGACAAATACAAAGTACAATAATGATATTGAAGATAGCCAGATGTAGGTTAGTGTAACAATTAATAAAAAAAGGATGTGTAACACCAAATAAATATATAATGAACGTGACAAATATTTAAATTTTTGACAAATGGTGCCACATCAAAAAAGCAAGGTAAATAATTGTACAATATGTGAAGTAGAGTAGTGCTGTAAAAATAGTATATTTAAAAATGTGCATAGTTTCAGTGAATATAAGGATTGCTCTGATGATGGGAAAATTGTCCCGAAACGTTAGAGGTGATAAATGTGAATAAAGGGATTTGAAGAAAATTGGAAATTTTTTTTGCCTTAATTGTAAAAAAAAAAAAATTATTTGAACTACTTCGTTGCATATTTCGTATGCATGCATATATGTTTAACTAAACGAATCCTCTCCCTCTGTACTTGAGATGGTAAAACTCTTCGTGTGGTCCCCGGAGGAACTAAATGTCGAGTTGACTGAAGTTGTACTACAAAAGCAGGACTGCTGAACTACTAAGCCAGCTGAGCCGAACAGCGTTGCGGGTCCAACCCCCGAGTCAACTAAAGCAGTCCACTTCAACTGTATTCAACTCATCTGGTTTAGTAGATTGGTAGTTAGTAGAGGAACAGTATTTTCAGATATGTTGATAATTAATTTCTTTTTATTTTATTCTTATTATTTATTTAAATTAAACTCGTAATTTTTTTTAATAATTTATTTATACGAGTTTATTTAATAGTAATTCCATTCTGCGACAAGTATCAGGGCTAAAAGTGTTCATTCATACAAAAATGAAATAAATATAAATAAATTAAATTAAAAAATAAATCAATAAATATAATATAGTTATATACCAAAGCTGGCTAAAGATAAAATACAGTTATACCCAAGTACAATATACAAATTCATTGTCACCCAAGCTTTTCATTTGTAATAAAGTCCCCTTTATATTAAATTGCTAAATCCCGCCTAAAAATTCGAAAATGACTTCATCTTATTGTAACCTACAATTTTTTTATCTACGAAAATTATCAAAAATGGAAAATTTTAAATTAATTCATTCAATTTAAAAAAAAAATGATGTAGAGATGGTTGACCGTGATAAAATATGAGAAGGAGTTGGGTTTTTGCCGGGCCAGAGAATGAGGACGGCATGAACGCGTGGTTAATTTATTATCTACAATTTGGTTATCAGGTTGTTAGGCAACGCGCGGTACAGTGCACACGCGTTAGCCCATTCGCTGTCATAAGTCAAAATTCTGATATTTTGTAAAAATTTTATTAAAAAAAAAAACTATAAACCTTTTCCCATTGGACTTAAAAAGTAAGTACATAAGAGAATAACAAATAGGATAATGACACAGTTTCGACCAATTTTATTTAATTCTTTTAAAATCCAACTTTTCCAGTCTCTAACTAAAGTTGAATTACTTGACATTTGCTGGTTTAAAAATTTAATGGTGTCTTTTTAATCTTCTTATTATATTCTGACACTTGTTTTTTAAAATATGTTTTCATTTTTGTTTGAATCGCGTTATAACTACAGCCCGTTCTACCTCCGTTCGTCATCGACAAAACCGAGTTGACTGTTTGTAAACATGCCATAGAAAGGGGGGGGGAGGACGTATAACGTTTCCCCCCGCTTGGGATGCCATTGTCCCAATAAAAAGAAACTCCACACCGGGTCGACTCAGACAAAGAGGGGTGGTTTGGGGGAGGGGGCGGTTTGGGGTGGTTTTTAGGGCTGCTGGGGGCGGCACTTGGTCTGTTATAAATGACTTGTTTACGCTCCCCTCGGGAGCGTTAAGGATGAGCTATTGACCGAAACTTCTTCCCCAGGATCTGTCTCATAGCTTGGCAAACAGTCTCTTTCCACGATTTGAATTTCACGACTGTGGGGTTTTTATTTTGTCAAAACTATCTTCTTCAGAGTGAGATGGTGTCGTTGACTCCACCATGTTGTATCCCAACGTTACTATGTTGATTCCCAAGATGAAGGGAAACGTCATAAAAGTAGTGCTGTGCACTATCTACTGCCACAAATCCGTATAATCCGCCCAGAAGACTGCTGAGGCGCTGGCCAAGAGACTTATTGCGTTGAGCTACTTGCTGCATTATCTTTTTTTTTTTGTGAGTGTGTGTGTGTTATTATGTGTTATCTTACTACTGGTTTTTTTTTTTTTTTTTTGTCTTTTTGTTTTGTTATTACTATTCTTTTTTTCTTTATGCTATCATTTCTTCTCCTTGATATCATATTTACTGAATACCGAGGTAGATGGCTAATTTATTGTAAGCTAAGAATATGCATATTATAATAAATAAATAAAAAAAATAGTACTCTTTCTTTAATTTACTTTAAAATAAATTATAATATTGGTAAATAATATAGTCCATGGTACAGACCCCTTTATATCGAATTATTAACATCCGCCTGAAACTTTGTAAATAATTTCGTCTTATCGTAACCTACAGCTATTTTATTTATTCTTTTAATTGGGGCTTTTTTAATCTGGAGGGAAGCAATCTTTGTCTATTTAATTAGGTACTAAAAACTGATAAATACCCATTTGCTGTCTACTATGATCTTAGCATAATTTGATCACAAAATCGATAAAAGTGCCCTTCTAAAATATTGAGCCGTTTGGCATGACCCCCAAATTTTCAAAATAATGAGGTTATGTAATTGTGTTCCTTCCGTTTTCATCTGATAAATATTCATTGGCTGGAATAATGACGAACCGTAATATTTAAAAAAAATAAACTTATTTCTGTATACAAATTATTTCTCTCTTAGTCCGTACTACAGCCCCCTTTTTATCAAATTATTAACATCCGCCTGAAACTTCGTTAATAACTTCATCTCACCATAACCTACAAATATTTTATTTACGAAAATTCTCGGAATTGGGGCGTTTTCAATCTGGTGAGGGGCAAACTTTATTTAATTAGGTACTAAAAACTCGTAAGTACACATTTGCTTTCTACTTGGATCGTAAGATAATTTTATCACAAAATCGGGAAAAAAAGATGACCTTCAAAAATATTGAACGGATTGGCGTGACCTACACCCCCAAATTTTCGAAATAACGAGTTTTTATTGTACAAACGACACAATATTTTTGTAAGCCACATTTTTTATTGATTTCGTGATCAAATTATCTTACGATCCAAGTAGATAGCAAATGGGTATTTAAAAGTTTTTAGTAGCTAATTAAATAGACAAAGTTTTCCCCCCTCCAGATTTTAAACGCCCCAATTCCGAGAA